CTGCCTGCCTCCAGGGCAGCTCTGTGGGCGCTCAGCTGGCAGTCAGAAGGCAGTCTGAGGGCAGGGTGACCCCTCTTTGGACCTGGCTGAGCCTGTGGGACGCGGCCACCATGTGTGCCCGTGCAGTGGGAGCTCTGGGCTTCCTGCAAGCCCAGCCCTGTCCCTGAGGCACCGGGACACACCCTGCTCCCCCTCGGTCCCCCTCGGGGCCCAGAGGAAGCCAGAGGAGGTGCCTGGCCTACAGGCTAAGGCCGTGGTCGGCAAACCGTGGCTCACGAGCCACATGCGGCTCTTTGGCCCCTCGAGTGTGGCTCTTCCACAAAATACCACATGCGGGCGCACTCGTACAGTGCGATTGAAACTTCGTGGCCCGTGCGCAGAAGTCGGTATTTTGTGGAAGAGCCACACTCAAGGGGCCAAAGAGCCGCATGTGGCTCGTGAGCCGCAGTTTAGGGGGTAAGACAGAGGGAGGCCCAGACCTGCGGCCACCACAGCCCCTCCCCCGCCTTGGGCCAGGCCGTCTCCTGCTGCCCGGCTTCCGACGTGGCCTCTGACCTGCTGGTGCCGTGGCCTCTCTCCTGGGTCAGCTCAGTGTCCGCCTGCTGCCCGCCCCCCAGACCTTAGCCCAGCACTGAGCATCCAGGCGTCGCTGCTGGCTGAGCCCAGCGGGATGAGCAGGCCTGAGGGTCCCTGAGGCGGGGGATCTGGGGGGGAGGATTTGGGGTCAGGCTGCCAGGCTCCCTCTCCCCAATGGGCAGCTCCTGCCCCTGCCTCTGTGGACTTCCCTGGACAGCGCCCTGCTCACTCAGCGCCTGTGTGTTTGTGTCCCACTGACCCTCCTCTGGGCTCTGGTGAGGGGACCCGGCCGTCAGCCTGCGTGGGGTGGGGGGGTGGTGTCAGCATGTCCCCTCCCAGCCCCGTCCTGGGGATCACAGCAGCCTCTGTGAGCCGGCACGTCCGGGGGCAGGCCTGGCTCTACAGGTGACAGGGGTCCCTGCAGGCTCCAGCCACCGGCCCCGGGCACTTTGGGCGCTGCCTGTGGGCTGCCTTGTGTGTGCTCTGAAGCAGGCTGGGTGGCTGTCGCAGGTGGCCCCGCCTCCTCTCAAGGCTGGTGGTTCCCTGTGACCCTGTCCCAGCCTCCTGGCCCCTGTCAGAGCCCACCCTACAGCTCCCGCTGCGTGAGACAGAGAGCTGACAGTGAGTGCCGGGGTCCAGCACCAGCAGGTCCAGGGGTCCCCAAAAGTGTGGACGGAGTCGGCGAAGAAGGACAGACACGGAGACAGCGTTCAGGTGGTCAGCAGCCTTGCCAGGGTCTC